TTCTATTTCCATGAGAGAAAAGACTATAAGTCTTTTTAATCTAATACTAATTTTGTGGAGGGTAGGATATTCCGGGTGGTGTAATTTCTTAATCAATATTTGTAAAAAGATTCTTGATTTAGACTTATCTAGATAGATACTTTCCATTTATATTTTTTTTCTAATTTCGAATATATCTTAGCCACATACTTGTTTTCTCATGATAAAAATGAATAAAAATGTGCTAAAAAAATATTTGATAGTTTCTGTCTTTTTCAAGAATACTAACAATAATAGTAAGCAATAGTAATCACTCACCAAATGACAAGATTAAGGTCAACATTTTTGTATCTTAACTTTCACATAATTTGTTTTATATTTTTTATTTATTTTATTTAGGATTATCTTTCTTATTTCGAAACTACGTAGAATGTCTCTCATAAAGTAAAAGGTAAAAATATCTCTGAGTTGTGAGGATGATGATGATGATGATGATGATAAAAATTTTATTTTTATGAGAGAAAAGACTATATATTTTTTTAATCTAATACTAATTTTGTGGAGGGTAGGATATTCTGGGTGGTGTAATTTCTTAATCAATATTTATAAAAAGATTCATAATTTAGATTTATCTAGATAGATACTTTCCATTTATATATATATTTCTTTCTAATTTCGAATATATCTTAGCCACATACTTATTTTCTCATGATAAAAATGAATACAAATATGCTAAAAAAAATTTGATACTTTCTGTCAATAATAGTAAGCAATAGTATTCACTTACCAATTGACAAGCTTAAGGTCAACATTTTCCTAACTTAACTTTCACATAAATTTTTTTCTTATCTTTTTTATTTGTTTCTTTTAGGAGTCTCTTTCTTATTTCAGAACTACATAGAATGCCTCTTATAAAATAAAAGATAAAAATGTCTCAAGTTGTGAGGATGATGATAATGACAATGATAATGATAATGATAATGATAATAATAACATGATAAAAATTAAAAAATTCTATTTCCACAAGAAAAAAGACTATAAATCTTTTTAATCTAATACTAATTTTGTGGAGGGTAGGATATTCTTGTAAAAACACTTCTAATTTAGACTTATCTAGATAGATACTTTCCATTTATATACATATTTCTTTCTAATTTCGAATATATCTTAGCCACATACTTCTTTTCTCATGATAAAAATGAATAAAAATGTGCTAAAAAATATTTGATACTTTGTCTTTTTCAAGAATACTAACAATAATAGTAAGTAATAGTAATCACTCACCCATTGACAAGCTTAAGGTCAACATTTTTGTAACTTAACTTTCACATATATTTTTTTCTTATCTTTTTTATTTGTTTCGTTTAGGATTGTCTCGGAACTACATAGAATGCCTCTCATAAAGTAAAAGGTAAAAATATCTTCGAGTGGTGAGGATGATGATGATAATAATAACATGATGAAAATTAAAAAAAAATTCTATTTCCATGAGAGAAAAGATTATAAATCTTTTTAATCTGATACTAATTTTGTGGAGGGTATGATATTCTGAGTGGTGTAATTTCTTAATCAATATTTGTAAAAATATTCCTAATTTAGACTTATCTAGATAGATACTTTCCATTTATATATATATTTCTTTCTAATTTCGAATATATCTTAGCCACATATTTCTTTTCTCGATAAAAATGAATAAAAATGTGCTAAAAAAAATGATACTTTCTGTCTTTTTCAAGAATACTAACAATAATAGTAAGTAACAGTAATCACTCACCAATTGATAAGCTTAAGGTCAACATTTTTGTAACTTAACTTTCACATAAATTTTTTCTTATCTTTTTTATTTGTTTCGTTTAGGATTGTCTCGGAACTACGTAGAATGTCTCTCATAAAGTAAAAGGTAAAAATGTCTTCGAGTTGTAAGGATGATGATGATGACAATGATGATAATGATGATAATAATAACATGATGAAAATTAAAAAAAAAATTCTATTTCCATGAGAGAAAAGACTATAAATCTTTTTAATCTAATACTAATTTTGTGGAGGGTATGATATTCTGGGTGGTGTAATTTCTTAATCAATATTTGTAAAAACATTCCTAATTTAGACTTTTCTAGATACTTTCTTTATATATATATATATATATATATAATTTCGAATATATCTTAACCACATACTTCTTTTCTCACGAGAAAAATGGATAAAAATATGCTAAAACAATTTGGTACTTTCTGTCTTTTTCAACAACACTAACAAATGCAATAGCAATCACTCACCAAATGGCAAGCTTAAGGTCAACATTTTTACAACTTAAATTTTACATAATTTTTTTCTTCTTATCTTTTTTATATTTTTTTTAGGATTATCATTTTTACTTCGAAACTACACAAGAATGTCTACCATAAAGCAAAATTAAAAAAAGGTGTTCGAGTTGTGAGGGAAAAAATAAAAAAATAATTATATGATCAAAATAACTATTAATTATGCGATCAAAAACTATTTTAACTAAAACTTGATTCAATTAGACAGATCGATTTACCATATAGAAAAATAAGAAAAAATAGATAGGTGACTTACTATCAAATCGAAGTTATATTTGGAATTAGACAAAGAAAATTATAGAGAATTTTGAAAAAGGTATCTCTCGGAAAAGATCGAAAAAATATTTTTTTCCCAGGGAAATCACCCTAATTTCTTTACTTGTTAATAAACACTTCATGAAACACGTGGCATATCATCTAGGTTTTCCTTTGAAAAGTATTGTCTTTCTTGATAGGACACATTACACAACTCCATAACGACGTCAGCCATCACGTTTAATGAAGATGACGAGGCACTCACCAAACCCCTCGTGGCCTCACGTACTGCCTGTCCCTTCCACTTGTCATCTACTACAAATGTCCAAACTCCACGACATCCAAAGCAAGCCATCAACTGTTCGAGCTGCAATACTCGGCTTGTGGCAGTCGTTGGTGAAGATTAGAAGAGCCAGGAGTCATGGCCAAGGTGGAGGAGATCCGGCGATCGCAGAGGGCTGAGGGGCCAGCGACGGTGCTCGCCATCGGCACCTCCAACCCGGACAACGTCGTGTACCAGGCTGACTACCCCGACTATTACTTCCGCATCACGAAGAGCAACCACCTCCCAGAGCTCAAACAGAAGTTTAAGAGAATTTGTGAGTGACTGATACATATTCTCTACCATTTCTTTGGCATTTCCTTTGTTTCCTTTATACCAGATTTTTTTTTTTATTTTTCTTCTGCGTAAATGACCACAAAGGTAGGATTTGTTTCCCCCTTCCTAAGCCTTGTTACAGGGAAGGATGAGAAAAGGCAGCAGTTTGGACTAAGTTGTTCCTCTGCAACAGTGATCATCAGTGTACTATCTCCTATATATCTATCTAAAAGAATAAGAAAGCATGACATTATTACAAGTGAAAGACAGAGGTCTATTGAGAAATATAAGACTCTTAATTGCCATGCTTGTTGCACTCCCTGATGGTTCAGGTGAGAAGACGATGATACGTAAACGTTACATGTTCCTCAACGAGGAGATCCTGAAAGCGAACCCTAACATCGCCGAATACATGGCACCGTCAATGGACGTCCGGCGGGACATCTTGGCCGTGGAGGTGCCGAAACTGGCCAAGGAGGCGGCAGTCAAGGCCATCGAAGAGTGGGGGCACCCCAAGTCCAGGATCACCCACCTGGTCTTCTGCACCACCGCCAGCTTCGACTCGCCCGGCCACGACTACCAGCTTGTCAAGCTCCTCGGACTCAGCCCTTCCATTAACCGGTTCACGTTGTCCCACCATGGCTGCTTCGCCGGCGGCACGGTGCTCCGCCTCGCCAAGGATCTCGCGGAGAACAACCGCGGCGCCCGGGTGCTCGTGGTCTGTTCCGAGCTCACCGCCGTCACCTTCCGCGGGGCCACGGAGACCCACCTCGACAACCTCGTCGGACAGGCCCTGTTCGGAGACGGCGCCGCCGCCGTCATCATCGGAGCTGACCCCGACGGAGCCACGGAGCGTCCCCTCTTCCAACTCGTCTCGGCCAGCCAGACCCTCCTCCCCGACTCCGACGGCGCCATCGAGGGCCACCTCAAGGAGGTCGGCCTCACCTTCCATCTGCTCAAGGACGTGCCCAGGATCATTGCCAAGAACATCGAGCAGAATCTCGTGGAGGCCTTCGAGTCGTTGGGGATCAGCGACTGGAACTCCATCTTCTGGATCGTGCACCCCGGTGGATCCGCGATCCTCGACGCGATGGAGGCCAAGCTGGGGCTGGAGAAGGAAAAGCTGAAGGCGACGAGGCAGGTGATGACCGAATACGGGAACATGTACAGCGCCTGCGTGCTGTTCATCCTCGACGAGATGAGGAAGCGGTCGGCCGAGGACGGGAAGGCGACCACCGGCGACGGGTTGGAGTGGGGGGTGCTCTACGGGTTCGGTCCTGGCCTCACCGTGGAGACCGTGGTCTTGCGCAGCGTCGCCATATCTTCCCGTTGAAAGCAGAATGACCATCGTTTGCTATTGGCCTCAATTTGACATTGTCAACCGGATCGACTTCTCTAGCAGTGATGATACTGCTTTGCATCTACCTACTACTTAGTAAGATATATGCGAGGCAAAACTTGTGGTGTATTAAGGAAGACGTGCATGCACGTCGTAAGAATAAGACTGTCTTATGTTTGTGATAATTAATAGATTTCATCTTGTCATTTATTTTATGAAAGATTTATCGTTGTTGAAAATAATTTTGACCAATAGTTTTAGCCTATCTTTAAACATGATTCATTTGATGGATATTAATTAATTTAATTTTTATATTTCTAAATTTAATTTTTATCTAAAGTTATTATGACATTATTTTTTTTGAGTTATAACAAATTCAGTATATTCATAATTTAATAAAAAATTATATGATGATTTGTTTAAAGATAGTAAACCTGGATTCGGTCGATAGTAAACCTGGAACCGGTTCGATAGTAAACCTGGATTCGGTCAATCGGTTCAAACCATGTTGATTCGAGCCGAACTTGTTTCGGATCAACCGGTTCGGTCGGGTTCGGTAAATCTTCGAGAAAGCTTTACGAATCATCGAACCCGGTTCGAGGGCAGTGGGACCACCGACCTAGAAATCCTGTCCCCTGATAAAACCCTCGGTGGATTCATCGGACATCGAAGCCTCTTTCGCTCGCTGGTGGAGGTCGGGCGGCGCCGCAGACGTGAGCGAACGAAGTCCGTCATCATGCAAGAGGAAGGGTACGCGTTTCGATCTTCTTCATTAACTATCTGTCCTAAAAAGGCTCGCTTTTTTGTGGCTCTGATAACCCTAAGTGCGATCTTTCCTCCGATTGTTCCAAAAGCTTTTCTTTCTGATTGAGGCGTGGCTTCAATTCCTCTTTACCTTTGTGTGTCTGTGGTTCCTAGGTACAAGCCAGGGCCAGATTTCGAAGAAGACACGAAGACTCCTCTGGTTGATGTCTCGTTGACGGACTCGACGGAGCTTTGGCTCATCCAGTGGCCCATTAATCAAGCGAGTGCCTTTGTCTTGATCGTTCTGGTTTTGTGCTAATTGGGTTACTGTTCTTTATTCGTTGAAGCTAACATTATATGGTCTTGTTGGTGTTGACGATGCAGTTACAACCTGCTGATTTCGACGGGAAAGAGCTAACGCTCAAGCTCAATCGAGATGGGAAGCTTGGCAGCTTCGAGAGTGCATCTGGTAAGATGTACTCTTTTGTTATGGGCATAGAGATTTTCTTGGGCTGACAAGTGCACCTATGCACCCTTTTTAACAGAATTTGTAGTTTGAGGTGGATGGGTGATAAGTTTTTTATATGTTACTATCAGCTTTTACATCTAAATCTCTTTTTTGTTGGATACTGTGGGAAGAATTAGTGATTTGACACAGTAGGTCACTATGTGAGATCTTTTAGCTTTTGAATTTTCCAGGTAAGTCTTATGATTTTGTGAGCTTTGCTGCACATGAGCCGGATGCCACCGTTTTTGTACCCTCTGGATCAGAGACGAAAGTAGGTGTGTATTAGACCTTTGCCATTCCTGCTCCTTGTCTGATGTTCTCAGTGTTTACTTAAGCCAAATGTTACCCTTTGGTTAATAAATAAACCGACAAGCTGTCTGAAAGGTTTATTTCTCATTAGTATTTATGTGTCTGCGAACTTTGTTGTTTCAAAGATTCATGATTATGCTATTAGTTTGTTCTAAATTTTGACTGCATTTGTTTATTTCTAAGTAATAGAAATATTTGTGTATAAGGGTTGCAGAGTCAGCTTAATCCACTAACCGGGTCTCCTTTTGTTAGATGTTGTTGATATTTGTGAGCCTTTTTATTTATTTATCTATTTGTCAACATGGCATGATAAGTTTAGAAACCTCTGTCATTAGGTTAATTTGTGTGTCCTTCTACCTTGATCAATTGAACTTGTTCAATTACGAGGCAGTCACAGTTAAACTTTTGTGATTGGCAATCGATTTCTTAGTGCATTACTCTTGGCTTTCCATGTCATTCTTTAAATTAACTTCCTATCGATGTTCAAAGTTTGACTAAGTAATATCTTCTTGATCTCACTCACTATTTATGAAACATCACAGAGTGGCTAAATTTCACTAATTAGACTAGTTTTTTTAAGTATAATAGAAAAGGGTATCTTAATTAGACAGATGATGTTTCTATGCTTCGACAGCCAACGTTAGTCAACTTTTGAAAAATGAGTCCGTTATGTCGGTTTTGATTTGATACAGTTTGAAAACATGTGCCCTAAAGTTCTATTTAGTTTGAAGTTTATTCTTGTTCTGTTTTCCTTTCCACAGTTCATAATTTACAATTTTTTATTCTTAATTGGTGGAACTTTGTATAGTAGACTGCAGCTGATTTAGCTTGACTTATTATTAATATTATCTATCAGTTGGCAGTGTTTTGCTCAGTATACCATAATCATGTACCTTTTTCTTAATTTAGGATCACGAAGGGCAATTACGGAAATTTCTATTGGTAGTGATTAAATTACAGATGCAAACTGCATTTTAGCTAAAAGGGCATCTATAAAAGTTCATTAACTTCTGATGAATGTTTGTAGTATTTGCAACTTTGTGGGGGGTTTCATAAAACTAGAGGAGAGTGGTTGGGCATGTACAAAGTTTTCTCAGTGTGTATGTGTACATTTACATCTATGGTTTATGCATGTACCATGATCCTTAACAACTAATATCTGTAACATAGTGTCATATGCATATTCTTGGAGACTTCCACAACTCCGCAATCAGCTATCATCAACTCTGTTTCCAGGACAACTGATATTTAATCAACTCCATGAAAAAATCTGATGAACTGATGAACTCTGTTATTAAGTATTACTCATCATGTACCATCAAGATTTAAATTGATTAATTTTAAGCAAGTTACACCATGCCACTTGCCTCACAAATATACAGAACACTGTGACCTTGTCTCCATCTTGCCCCATCCTACAATAACTTGTGATATTTGCTGATTGGCATGCCACTCTTGCATGCTACTAAGGACCATAAACCTGATTGTGTGGCTTCATGTGTCACATATTTATCAGTTCTTGTTTTGGTTGTATTTAACTTGTAATATCATTTCACTTAAATCTGCATTCCTGGTCCAGAAATTAAAGAACCATCTTCTCACCCAAACCTGTCTTTCTTCAGTTGGGAAGATTTCTCGCAGAGTCTGTCTGGTTCATTATCCAGAGCCTGGTGAACTGGAGAAGACTCGATTCAGTCTAAGCAGTCAGAGAACTGAGGGTGGTATGTATCACTTCATGTTGATTTTTTGAGATTTTGCTCAAATTGCACGTTTTTGATCCAGTCAATTTCCAATAGTTGTGTTTTTACTTTGTACATTATCTACACACTATTGAGTGTGACATATCTGTTGACATCACAACTGTTGACTTCACAGGTTCAGTTCGAAGAAGCATCTCTCGTCCTTCTGTCACTCCACTGAGACATGGAAGCTTGCTAGGAACGGAAGGAACTTCTCATGATACCTTCACCTCTGTATATAACCCTGAAGAAAGAAGCATGGAAACTCCATTGAAGTCCAGGAAGAGACATGCAGCTAGCACAGCACCTTCAGAGATATCTGCAAGGTCTGCTGACCGTTCTTCCCATGCTTCAGGTCCAGAAAGTGAGATTACCAATAATTCATTAACATCCGAGAGATCTCATAGGGAGAAATCGAAGAAGAAGAAGATCAAATTGGAGGAGTAGTGATTTTTGTTTATTGCTATAAAGCTGCAAAGCATTAAAATTTCTGCTACTGCTCTCTGAAGCCACTATCATCTTGTGTGTTTTGCATGATATGAGGGTTTCGGATCTAACACAAACATTGTATTTTCCAAATTACTTGCCGCTCAAAGTCGATTATAGTTACGACATTAATTGTACTTTTTAGCAGCAACCAAAATGTGTTTGCATAAGTTACAATTTGAGTTCATTTTAGCACACATGACCACCAAAAGCACATGGAAGACTTGGGTTTCTTGCATTTCTTGGAATTTGTAAAAGGCCAAGCACTGATGTAATTCTCTGGCATCAATGCAGCATCTTCTCTATTTTGACTGCTGTTGGGAGAAGAGTGCTTGTTAGATCCTTTGCAATTCTAATTGTGATATCCCCATTCTCTTGTCTTGCTGGTTAAAAAATTACATTAGATTTCTTAAGCAAGCCATTCACATCTGATATGAACTCACAAGAAGCAAAAAATCTCCAGACAAGCTAAAAGGATATGATGATATTTTATCATTTGGACAGTTTCTTCATACCATCTTTTTTATTTGACTGCTTAACACCATATTTCAGTCATACAACACATACCATGCATCAGGTATTTAACATTCTAAAGCTACAAAAAATGGATAATGCCATGGTTTGGCAACAAAACAAGGTGTAAACTTCAAGCAATTAAGAGCAACAAAGCTTAAGCATGCAGCTTGGAGCGGCAACTGCAGAGGGCTGTGAGCTGCCACTACCATGGCTTGAGATCACCTACAGGACCAGCGGTCCAGTTCAGAATTTGCTGACCTGGTTTCAAGAAAACACCTTCATTGTGTGGCAACTTCCGAGCAAGTCCATTCAGTATCTGATGGAAAGCATCACCGGGTTGGGCTGGTTGCGGGAACAGCATCGCCTGCTTCATCGAAGGGTTAGCAAGCAATCTTTGTTTTCTTAGAATTACCTCTATCGGTATTGATGTGAGGATTGTGTCCAACTTTGGCACATCCTCCTCAGCCACAAACACACCAATTTCCTCCCATGGTATTGCATCTGCGAACGGAAGCACTATATCATCTGCTATGACAACAGGTATGCAGCCGAACACCACTGCTTCTACCAATCTAGGGCTCCATGGTGCCCAGCCCAATGGGCACAAGCAGAAAACAGCCCGCTGCATATCTTCGTAATAAGTAGTAGGGTGATCGGTAGAGATGTCGAAAAGTGGATTGTTCTTAAAGTTCTCCCATACTGATGCCCTCGCGCCTCTGCATGACAGAGTCAGTAAGAAATATAATTGCACCAGATATAAGCTTCACATAGCAGATTTATGCACAAATATAAAAGGATCAAAGCTTACCTTGCATAATATCCACCCTCTGGATCATTGCCAACATCATAAAATAAACCCCGAAAATAGACAAAGATTGAGCGAGGAGTATCCGGAGGAATCAAGTGAGTTTGCATTTTCTGTGGAGGGGCATATGGAGGAATGGTGATGGAACCATCCTTCAAGCAAACATGATTTCTTTGCCCAAAGGTTTGGACCAGCGTGGCACGCTTGAGCAATTGAAGGATTCCGCGTTCAATTGCTGTTTCTTCCTAAATCACAGGAAAATGGTCGACATATAACAAAATAAAAAGACGTTACAAAGAGAAGCGCAATATTCTTGACCATTATAAAATTCACACCTGATAGTGAAAGCATGCTCCAAAATCATGTGGAACAACAAAAAAGTGGTCGGCCCCTTCGGTTCTGTTCCAGTAAGGCCAATTAGTGGAAATCAACTCTATTGCACTTCTCATCATCCGAGGTGATTTGAAGGGCAAGGGGAGTCCACTAGGAGTTAGGTCACAGGTGGTATACACTGGTGCATAGAACCAATCAGCTTCTTCAGGATTGAGAGTTCGAACAGGACTAGAGAGCAAGAAACGATGCATGTAGATCTCCGCAGCAAACATGTGATTCAGGCATCTGGGATCCTTATGGAGAATCTTTTTGTTGTATTTGCTGGGTAGCTCATACACAAACACCTTCAACCTTCCGACAGGGTCATCTTCCAGAACATCACCGGCACTCCCTACAGTAAAAATATCCCATTAAACAGAGGCCAGAATTTCTTTCCAGAAACTGATAAGAAAGTCCAGATCAACCAACAAGTTTGACAGCTACCAAATTTGGAAATGTCATCAAAATTGTATACAATTGCTAAGAAGAAATAATATCAGTGAAATACCTAATATTACATACAAACATATTTTCCAGCATAAATACATGCATGATCCATAAAGATAAACCAACTTTCTTGACCTTGATTTATGATAGGCACTCATTGAAAAATACTAGTAATGCTAAATTGGGGCCTAGCCCTCCAATAGTCTGGCAGTAGTACTGCTGACCAAGTTAGAGCTATTACTGGCTCAAAGCCGTGTTGCAGGTAATGTTTTTAGTGAATTACTTGGTAAGATAGTTAACCTTTAATTACAACATAGAGAATTGAACTTCAGCCAAAGTTTAAGAACATATGCTAACATGAGACAACTTTTTGGAACCTTCTTGTAGGCAAACTAAGGATGGATCCCAAAGTATCATCAAATTTGATATCATCACATATCTCAAGATTTCTCTATCTAAAATTCTAGTCAAGCGAGAGACTTTTATTCAATTTATTCTGTAGCTTGAAATAAAACCTAGTTTGTTACTAAACTGATGAAAATCCAATTGAGGATCGATAGTCTAATGACAAATTATACTGAGATTAACCAGCCAGTACATATAAGTCTGATAGGATATTGATATGGGTTCTCATGCTGTGCCAAGTCGTGCCAATATATCCTTGAAAATCTGATGGGTATGGACCATCAGCATGTATCACAGAATACTTTGGTGCCCGGTACATATTGGTTAGCTCGAGATTGGTACCATACATGAAATAGCAATCTTTGATGGAGATCCCTTCAAGATCTCAGATAACCTCGTCTTCCAGGAAGCAAGAGTGCAGCATAAGTTTCATCAAACACACGCATCATGCATAAGGTAACTAAGATCTTGGCCTTCGACTTCTTCAAACTTCACAAACATAGGCAAAATTAAGCATAAGTTTCATCAACCTAAAACATGAGAAAAACCACCCAAATATGATATTCAGGAGGAGTAATCACAAGGATGACTACTCATAATTTTGCCTCAAACGTCAGTCAGATAACGTAGGAATGCAGCAAACTAATGGAACATCACAGGCGAACACTATCATGAAAAACAGTGTAAACAATGAGGAAGATCCTTTTGCAGAGCTACAAACTACATAATCAAGCAAATCTTAAAAGAATTCTGGTCCAGTTCTTTGGAGTCCCAAGAGTCACATGATTGTCCCTGATTCCCATGTTAGGACTATTTGTTTCAGTCAGCATATGAGTGGTAGATGAGAGTGCACTTGCAATTCGACAATTTAACTCGAAAGATATTCATATGAGAACACCATGCAAAAGAAGACATGGTGAATGTCAACCAACTGCTTGTTCAATACGAATATGTTGGGCTAGGAGAAAACATGAACAAAACAAGATGGTTCTCTAAGCTCTAATCGATATATCCACAAATTTCCCATCCCAATATTCACAAACTTCATCCCATTAACCTTTTTTCAGATAAAGCCACATTTCAACTGCGAGAAATAAGTAGCAAATTCTCAATGGCTATGGGAACCATGGTAATCTCAACTACACCAATAAACCAGTAAAATATGAAGACTCTCTCTCATTCTTGCAAAACCTGCATTCTGTTTCAGGGCAACATGAACAAGAAATGAAAACTCCACAACTCTAACAAATTGAAGTGCGCAATAAACTTGAAAACCCAGTAAACTTATCAAGCAAAACATGCCATCGTAAAGCAGAACATCGTCACGAAGTCATCACGCAACAGGCAAAGCAAAAGCCGAGTCCAAAAGCAATCAAATTTCTTTATTATCAGCACAGCAAAGGTCATCCTAGATTCCAAAGGGGAAATATAGCCATAATCATCAACCCAATGGATCAACACCCAACGCAGATCCAGACGACCCCCCCACCCCCCACCCCACCCGGCAAACGAAAAAAGAGCAGAGTAAACTCGAAAAACAAAAATTAAAACCCTAACAAAATCCAAAATCAACAGAACAAAAAACCAAACTTTGAACACAAAACTCACCAGAAATCCTCTCTGTCCGGCGATTGACCTCCTGCTCCAGGCCATAGATCCCATCAAAGACAGACTGAAGAACTACAAGTGCAAGAATCCAAGTCCCACTCCCCATAGACGTGGCTTCAGCCCCTCGGACGGAGGAATCAGCAAAGAAATCAAAGAAAAAGCTTTCCGCGAGGACAGTGGAAGATTCCCTTTCAGGAGTATGGGAATGTTAAAGACGGTGGTTGCGCTGAATGGAAACTAATAGAAGGTGAGAGGTAATATTTAATTCAAAAAAGGGAAAAAGTATTACATATATATATACATATATAAAATTTAATTCAAAAGAGAGAGAGAGAAAGAGATTGGTTTAAATGTACTTTTTGCTTGAGGATGAAGCGAAAACAAGCAGTCCTTTTGCTTGTAGATTATGCGGAGATGTAATTTTCTTGAGAGTTTGAAGGCTGTGTTTGATGAGAAGTCAACCTCTCACCTAATGAAGAGCTTTGGGGGGGCACCTTCCATTAACAATTCAACAACTCTCCCCTCACTTGCCCATCACCCACCGACCTCCTTCCTTCCTTCCTTTCTCATGTTATCTTCACATCAACCACATGGGAAGTCCCTCATTGCCTCTGCCCAAAGCATCAATGTTCAAGTGTTTCTCATACATTTCACATTTAGCTCAGTAGAAGAAGCTATGGATGACAGGGAAGTGGCAACTTCTGTTGCTTCTTCTGCTGGCATTCTCATTGCTATTCACATGTTATCAGAATCCATGTTACTTCATCTTCACCGTGACTTGGGCTCTCTTTTGTATTCATTCCCATAGGTAATGCACCTGACTTCAATCTAAGTCAATTTTCTGCCATCATTGACAGCAGCAAGTCATTCAACAAAAGACAATATTAATTTCAAGACAAAAACAACTGATGGAAGGTATAGACCAGATCAAAGAAATTTATGTGGAAAATTCAAAGTTTGGCCATCAACAGTTGTAGGACTACCATCAGGTCCTCCTCAAATGTAATGTGATATGCATGTTTTCATAATTTCCCCCTTTATTTCATAGGTTAAAGAAATCTCATTTTCTATGTTTGATGGAGAGTGAGACAAAGTGTGTGTGTATATATATATATATATATATATAGTTTGTTGACTATTATTTGAAACTTCTTTTAGCATTAATATCATTCGAATATTTTTTATATATAATTTTATATTACTTCATAAATGTAAGCCGTCTTAGCTCAGCCGGTAGAGCGCATGGCTTTTAACCATGTGGTCGTGGGTTCGATTCCCACAGACGGCGATTTTTAACCGAGGCCAAAATAAAAAGTTATTTACAGCCTCCGTTCTCTTGAGGCCGCTGGCGGTAAATTTACCGGATACTTATCAGACCATTACCTTGCTGGGCCTTGTTTGGCAAGCACAACATGGGCCAACGAAGATGCCTGGGCTGGTTTGCCTTCTTTGGCCCAAGAAAACATGCAAGGCACGATCATTATATAGTGAGCTTACCGCATACGACTGTAGGAGAAACGAGGCTTCAAGAAAATTTGTCCTGGTAAATTCATTCGTCAAGTCTCACCGTACTTATTCTGACGTGCGGTGACCGGACGACGTTAATATGGCCTTTTCCTGTATGTAGTTTGCTTAATCAAATTGTACGGGCTCTTTTGTAATCGTGGGCCGTACGGCAAACGGATCGGCCCACATATAAGATCACAGCCCAAATATTTGCCCAGGAAGGAATTAAAGGTCCAATCATTTCACAGTAAGCCTACCGCCCAAAACTCAGAGGGTAAAGAGGCTCCAAGAAAATTAAATCCCTGAAGATTCCTCCGGCCTCCTCCGTATTATTCTAACCTGCGGTGACTGCACTCTTACAGGAGACGGATCAACTTTTCGCTGACCTAACGCTCGGATAAAAATGTAGGGTCCATTGTGGGCTCCCAGCGACTAAATTTCTCTGAGAAGCCACATATCAGGTAAAGTATTTCTTATTGCAAACCTAACTGTAGCCGCGTGCAAGTAAATCCTGATTGTGTTTTTTTCCTAATCTTAAAGAAGGAGAAGATGGATCAAAGGGCAGACTCGAACGTGTCCCGTAGGAGTGGCTTTGATGGAGAAAGAGACGTGAGGACTAAAATCCATGACTGTGACGGATGGACGAGTATTCACTCGCCAATTGTCATCCCAAGAGTCACTGACTGAAGCAGGCCATAAAGCTGAGATTCCCATTATTATATGCCTCCCGGTCTTCTGCTCGACAAATGTTATCTTCGTTCATTCATTAATTCACGTGCCTCACAAAGACCAAACCGTAAAAAAGCTGCCGACTTCCACGACCAGCAACGCAAAGAATGATGCTGAGAGGTCGAACAAAGACCATGCCATCGATGGGTTTCCTTCTTTCTCTTTCCTCCATCTTAGACTGTACTTTGGTGCTTCTTTATCATGTGTTGGACATCTGAGATCGACCACCTCTGGTGACGTTTAAGCACACGGTTCGCGGATGAGAGATGACAATATATAACAGGGTGCTCCTCCTCCACCCACCGTTTCTTGCAGTGAAGACGAGCGGAAGAAGATTAATCGTGGAAGCTGGTTGAACTTTCCGGAAGACAGACAGGAAGGCTGCAGAATCGTTGGGTAGCTACCGATTGATGTCATGTCGGAAGTGATATCATACGACCGGGTTTCGGCCTCACGCTCGTACGTGCGCACCTGAAGAGATCATGGTGGAAACAGGCTCGCGTTGACTGTTCAAGAACACAGTGAAACAAGAACATGTTGCATGTATGCGTGTACCATCCGTTTCAGCAAGAACAGATCGACTTGGTTTCTGTGACCCGAAGAAGCATACGAAATGCAGGAGACGTGCATAGTAAGTAGCCCTCCTAGTAATAAATACGATACACGTGCATGCGGCAAGAGCCTCTGACCAGACTCCGTCTCTCTCTTCGACATGCTGCTCTCCATCGTTTGACCAAAGTCTCTTATGGTATTCCATCATCTTTCTCCCATCTGCTACTCTCTCTAAATGATTAATCTTATTGTTTCCACATCCAAAAACATCATGCTTCATATGTATAGCAATTGCACTTACGTGAGCTCATTAGTCACCAGTAGCAGATGACGAAGAGAACAAAGACTGTTCGTGCAAAAACTTGTTGAAAGATGAAGATGAAAGCAAAATAGAAGGAAGATGGATTCTCACAAACAAAAGTATGTGGATACAAAACAAACAGGTACATTTACCAAATAAATACCATTTCACTTTATCTTACTTTCGTTCCTCAACACGATTGTTGATCTTCATGGAGGTCGACTGCCGTCTTTGTCCTTCTGTTCTCCATGAACCCATGAGCTAGAAGACGAAGAAGAAGAAGACGAAGAAAAGTTCGTATACTGAGACTGAGATGAGAAGTCCAAGAAGTGCTGTGAAGACCCTAAAGCAGAAGTTGTTGGCGTCTGAGAGGACACCGGCGTGAAGGTGCCGCCGACGTAGAGCCCCGAAGCTACATTCTGCAAGTCTTCATCCCTACTCTGGAGGAGTTGAGCGTACTGCAGCAGGTCGGGGTACGAGGTCGCAGGCAGCTGTAGCGGTACTCGGGGTGGCTGCCTCTCGGGGACCCCTGGGCTGACGAGGAAGCCGAGGTCGGTCCGGCCTTGGACTCTCTCGGGAAAGTTGAGCTTGGCTTTGGTGCCTTTGAACCGCAACGCTGCCTCGTCGTAGGCGACGGCCGCGTCCTCGGCCGTGTCGAAGGTCCCGAGCCACACACGAGCCGCCTTCCTGGGGTCCCTTATCTCCGCTGCCCATTTGCCCCACGGCCTTTGCCTCACTCCCCTGTAGTGTCTTCTCCTCACATTCCCTTCATCATTTCAGTTCACATCAACGACATGCATGTAGCGAGCACTATATAGAGAGACGTGATAACTCACTGATATGTTACGACCAGTTTGCCCTACCAATAATTCATCTGTGAAGACTTATAATTACGAGCTTCGAACGACAAGAAATCAAGAGGCAATTACTTCAATTTTGATGCTTATTTTTGGTCAAATTCCGAAAAATTGATAGTTGGTACAGTACTAAGCCCACGAAGAAATAGAATAATCTACCTACTTCTAGCGTTTTCCAGAGACTGCTGTTGTGGCTTCTTCTCTGTCTCTCTCTTTCGCTTGTGCTCGGAAGTCTCTCGAGACCGTCACCTTATTGCAACTAAAAGCTTGGTGTTCCTCTTCGTTTAACAGCAAATAAATAGTACGATTTTGCTGAAACAGTAAACCTACGAGATAGTAACAGTAGCTGGAGGTCTGCTATTGCATTCACCGGTTTATAGAACTGCGGAATCTGGTCACCTAAGTTTCAGGTTCGCTCAAGATCACGGTGGTGCAAGATGGTTGAGGCATACCTTGCTCTTCCGAGACCTGTGCGGCTTCCGTGTCGCCGCGACCTGCAGCCTCCTCCAGTTTTATGCCCTGTTGGGTCGACGCTGGCTCCCCTCCTCGGGTGTCGACAACCGATGAGCTCGAGCTGATGACGTGCGCGAGAGCGGACACCATGGCCGATGCGTCGTGGTCGGCGCGTGACGAGGCGAAGCGTGAGACCGCCTGCTGCTGGTCTCCTTCCTTCTTCTCCAGCTCATCAGGAGGAAGGGGCCTCTTCCCAGGCCTTCGATCCACCTTATCGTTTCTTGACCTTTCCTCTTCCTTCCGTCGCCCCGACAAAGGATCCGGTGATATACGTTGGTGGTGACAGCGACGTCGACGACAAAGAAAGACTACAGATAGACGGAGATATATACAGCAGCGAGAGAGAGAGACGGAGATATTTACAGCAGAGAGAGGAGAGAGAGGCAGCCGATCGAGGAGCAGTCGCAGCAGAAGGAAAGATAAAGAGTGGATGATTCGGGATTGTGATAAGAACAGACGCTCTGATGATTGGGCTGGGCGACGGCTTTGATGAGCTCTACATTCTTGCTGTACCGTTTGACCGTTGACCAAGGATGGATAGAAGAAATGAGATGAGAAGGTCAAAGAGTAGTGTTGATCATGCCAAAAAAGTCAATAGAATTCAGTGAATCGAAGCAAGACTCCTTCCTTTCCCTGCAGCTTCAAGGTCAAACACTAGGGAAGAAGAACACAAGAAGAGCAGATGCCTGCTAAAACCTAAGCAAGTTTCTGTCATCCCTACTCGATACCATCAGCCAGATGATAAAACCTTTAATTACCTACTTATTCTCAGCATCAGCATCACGGTTGCTTTTGTGCAAAGTAAGCGTCTACAACAAGTATCTAAGCTTGTTCTGGGTGGCATCTACCGAGCCTCAAATGCCAAGCTAGACACGTGCCGTGCCTGTCTTTGCTCCCCTCGAGCTTTCCTTGGCTATTTGCTTGCTTCTGGAGATTGCTTACCGCTGCAAAACTATACCTTTGATTTGGCCTTTTCCCACCCCCTCGCCCTCTTCCTCTTTCCTTCTCGGAGCTTCCATTTCGCAGTTCCCGAGCTACAGGCCGCCATAAAGGACCTTCGTGGTCAATCGCACTGTCTCCCTCCCACTCTGCCTTTTCTTCTCACCGGATACGTTTCCGAATTAATCTCCCGATCGTCACAGAAAGTTCTTCGATTAGAACATCCTTTCAAGAAAAATTCTCTTAGGTGTGTAATCAAAGTCGATGGCATCGACTTAATTAGCTCCCTGTTCTGGCGAAGCTCTCAGTGTTCACCGCCTTGTATGATAAAACCCATCAGACTCGGTGCTGCTTCCTGTTCCTCTTCACTTTTTGAGAGGGCATTTACCACCACATGAAAGCACTATGGGGCCTTTCCATCACCCCCATGATGCTCCTGATCGAGAAAAGCAAGAACAGTAACCTAATCCTTGCCAAGAGACGGGTATATATGAATCAACGTACCAATGTGGGTGAGCCTCTTCATGCCGGGATTCCAAAGGTTCTGCATCATCGGATACAAAGACAATAAGCCCCCAAAAAATGGATGTGTATCTTAAGCGATGATTGGAATAAACGGAGTAAAACTTTGCTACATGCGACGAACCATTTACAATGATCGGGCGGACATCTGTGTCCATCACAGTTGTGTCCGGTCAATATCCGGACTAAACCTACCTACCAATCATCATACCTTGTCAAGATAACTTGGATGACGACTGATGCTTGCAGAAGAAGGTTAAACTACAACAAAAAAAATTGACACTGTTGTCAAATTAGATGTGACCCAAACTCAACCTGACAAGCAAATGAGTGGTGTATGAGAACGAGGAGGTTACCATCAGTACTAAGCTTATAAAACATTTACACACGAGATCCAAAAGAAGAAGAAGAAGAAGAATAATCTTTACATATGAGAGAGAAATTGCACCAAATGCATTGTAAAGTACACAATGACTGGCACCAAATGCATTATTAACTGAGACACATTCCAATGAGGAGCATGTTTTTCTTGACAGGCAGACTTTGGGAAAGTGGTGGGTGATTCCCTGTTCTCTCAACTTGCTCTAATTATTATAACCCAAGAAAAAGTAGCAATGTGTAATAGTGTGGCCATGAAAGTAAACGAAAACATAGTGATCTTTGTAGTCAGTCGACTCTACAAGTGGATATTAGACGTGAAGTTACAGTCGACGGGTCAAAGAGGAGAAATCATAAATTGGGCATGGAGCAAAAAGACAATTGATGGGTGCAAATTGTAAACAATGTCTGCAACATTAGATAGAACTGAGTACAAATTATAAGCAATGGATGCAACCTAGAGAGATTGAATGAAGATTAAATAGTATGTGGCATAAGATGAAGTATCTCCAAACGCATGTGAATCAAATAATTTTGTGTTCTTTCATGAAAGGACTTACTCAGTATCCACTGTCCAAGAAGATTCATCTGTCCCAACGAATATGCAAGTCCACAATTGATCTCTTCAACATGTGAATACCCCGAAACATTCCTTTCAGAGTCTCATTAAAGCTGAGCTGAAGGTGTGGTAAGAAGACATCTATGAGATTAATGGCTCGATCGACAACAGTATATTTTAACTGAATAATATGCGAAAAATCATCATTACATTACTATTATACAAAAAATTTTAATATCGAAAACTAAATTAAATAAAGATACATCAAATTTACCATGTGTAAGTGAGATTGTTACAGAGGATAAAACAAAGAACTCAAGATGAGATTGTTATTGATGCTTCGGTGACTGAAAATTCAAACAAAAGAAAGTTCCTCAAAATTGGCTGCTAAAAGAAGGTTTATGATTATCTAAAAATAAATTTACCTCCATTTTCTTGAAGTGTCAGTCACACCAACTCCAACAATGAGAATCGACAAAGGTAGATCAGAGCCTTCCAGAGCATCTTTTGTTTCCTGCAAAACAGGCAATCACCCCATCCTGGACAAAGTTTCTGCACAAGTAAAATTGCAATGTAGTAGAAAATTTGGAGTTAGCCTACCATGGCTATCAACAAAACAAAAGTACCTTCTGTTTACTCTAAGTGCATAGTGTTTGTTCTCTATACCGAATGTATCTTATTACTAACCAATATAAATTTGTTGAGTGTTCATTCCTTTGTTCTGAAACAACAATTGTACATCCACAAAATCTAAATCCCAGTATTGAGCAAATGTATAATAATGCAGTTAACATGATAAACTAACAAATAATGCAGAGCATGGAGGGAGTCAACTTACGGACCACTTAATTTTCTCACCATTATGAAGGCAGATTTGAGATCAAACAAAGATGAGAGGTCCAGCTAACGAACAATCATCTGCTAATAAAAACTAATGTTGCATGTTATTGTACTAAGACAAACTTTCAACACCACCACCATGTGAATCGCAAGTTTTTTCTGCAGGAAATAGAAGAACTAGCAAGGTTTTGACTGAATTTGGTATGAACGCTATTATTTTAATTCCACTCAAAAGTGAGTTATGGATTCCAATTGGATGGTGGCGGAGGTTTATTGGAGTGGAGAGATGGCACGGCAGAGAAGATGGTGTTCCTGTCAACGCCCACGCCGCTGCTGCTTGTAAGAGAGACCAGGGCTGCAACGAGTCCAGCATTCCCGGCCAGCGTCGGCTCGGTGTAGTTCCCGTTCTTCCGCTCATCGAAGAAGCGATCGTATTTGTCAGGGCCACCGACCATGGCACCGGTGATGACATTAGGATTCGCTGCTTTGGAGTCTCGCCACGTCCTTCCACCAGTGCACGAGTACCGGCGGCCATTGTTGGGGGTAGAAGCACCTCGGTGGCGCACATGCTTCGGGTATCTATGCCCATAGCCTACCAAATAACTCATATTCCCGGGATTGGCTCCCAAGATGTAGTTGATCTGCATGAGGAAAACGTTACACAGGTCTCGGAAACAGAATTGAATCGCAAACAAGTAGAGGAGAGGCTGACACTGCACCTGAGAGGCTGCAAAGTTTCGAAGTGTGCTTGAGTTGAAGTAATTGGGTCCACAATACCATCCGGGGACTCGGCTAGCATTCATGTAGTCAGCATAGAGGGATGCAAGGAAGGCTGCATTCGCTGCATACTGCAGTGACCGAGGCCGCCCACGGTTCAGCTGAGCAAGTCCTCCTACACAGCACACAAGCAATAACAGATGTGTATTTACCTCGATCCATGCGGGCACTGCAGGCTGAAGTTTGGAGCAGATGAAGTTACCTTTGGTCCAGTTGAAGACGTTGAACTGACGGAGATAAGAACACATGTTTATGTCTGTGTTAGCATGGAACTCACTGAGCATGTCTTCGTAAGGGTATCCTGGATTCAAGAAAACCCTAATCCTTGACAAGAGTAGCTGGGCTGCCGGAAGCTTGTTGTCCCAGCTGAACACCCTCGAATCCGGGCGCTTCAAGAAGGAAGCATTAGCATTATGATAGACGCGGGGATCGGTCGCACGCGACAGATAGGTGTAGTTTCCAGTGGCGTAGAACAGCCAAGCAGAGGCCCATATGAACTCATCCCAATACCCAGTGGAGTTGTAGAACCTTGCTATCTGCTGGTTCCCAGATGAGTATGGTGCTTGCTGCCCTGACTCTGTAGCAAACTGGTAAGCTGTTTTCGCTGCCTTGACCAGTTTGGTAGAGTAAGCAGTGTCCTCCTCCGTGAATACAAGTGAAGCAGCAGCTAAGGCTGCAGCCACCTCGCTTCCCAAATCAGGTGCGGAAGTAGAAGTCAGCACCGGCCGAGGATAGTTCATGTCCTCTGGCCTCTGCCAGCAGTATTCATCATCCGGATTGTTGGAATCTCTTTGTGCAACCCCCACCTAACGTCAGTAGATGCAGTAAGCTCGAAGGAGAAAAGAATTCTACTTGGAAACAACATCTTGATACCTGGCAATACATTTTGTTGATGGTTGAGGCAGAGGAATTGAAGGTGCGAAGCAAGTAGTCGACGCCCCACTTGATGATGTCCCGGACATGGTCGTATTCTCCGATGGCTTCATACTTTGGACCATACTCCACGGCGGACCAGCTTAGCAGTGTCATGGAAAAGGCCATGGGATAATGGAACTTGATGTTGTTCCCGCTGTCGTAGTAACCTCCAACTAGCCCACCTATCACGTCCGATAACTCCGATCCATCTTGTAGGCCAGAGTTCCCCCTCCATGGCACTCCATTGTTCTTCGGCAGCCTACCAGCTGATGAATTCAACAGAACAATACGAGAAGAATCAAAATTATGAGTCAATTGAAAGGTGGGAAAGAGCAGAAGAAGAGAATGAGAGGTTTACATTTTTGTGCATTGAAGAATTCGAGGGCTAGGCGGAGGGCCACCGTGTATTCGTCCGGCAGCAGCACCGGCTCTTTGTGCGTCGGAATCATCTTTGCGACGACGATGGGGACTCCGATGACAACGAATGCAATCAAAAGTGAGTACACTACCCACTTCACCATCTCCTTCTTACAGACAACGATCCACAGGTCGATGTACTTGTCCTTCTTGACGTCCCTGGGACCGAGAAGCCACCCCTGCTGCGTCTCGTCTAGTTGCTCGCGGAGAAGCGCCGCCTTGTCGATCGCCATGTTGCTGCTTTGCACGTCATCCGCGTGAGAATCGTGTTGGATGTCGAACGACCCGCCCCATCGATTGGAATAATGCATCGTGGTGTTCTTAGGTAATTCCTTGCCACAATCGGAATTCGATTGGGTCAAAGTAAAGAGCGTTAGGAATTGGAATAGCCATGTAACGTAACACAAACAAGATCATATTGCAAGTGCGGATAATCTTCGTCACCAACGATGGGCAACAACAGCAGCAGCAGCAGCAAAGCATCAATGACAAGAAATGGACCATGTTTGGATATGTAACAGAGTTCACGCCCAAAATTCTGAAGCAGAGATTAGGGTTGAGGTACGACCACTTACTGGTGCGGAACTAAGAATGACGCCGAGTCGGTCTCCCCATGAAGCGGTCTCTAAGGATTGCACCCGCCCTTTCTCTTCTTCTTCCTCCTCCTAACAAGCCATGACCCTTCGTCAAATACAAGGATCTCGTTCTGTTGGTGGTGGTGCCCCACTTCAACGACGACGACAGCGACCGAGGTAGAGAGAGAGAGGCAGTGAAGGAAGCGCCGACGAAAGAGATGGGGCACGGCGGAGCAGCAGATCGATCCTGAGAGAGAGATGGAGGAAGGTAAAGAGGCAACGATGAGGGATGGACTCAGGAGGCGGCGGCGATGACGCTAATATTCCGGGATGAAGAATCGCATCGGTGAGGAGGAGCAATGAAGTCTCCAAAACAGCACCTTTGTAATATATAATTACAAAAACATTCAACCAATCTGCACCGTTAATTAGAAACCCTACGGTCGAGATCGGGTGCTTTTTTTCTTCTTTACGAGAGAGAAATTATAATATATTTTATTTATTTCTGGCATTTTCTGACACAGCTAGACATCAAATGCTATCCGTTTCTTTCTTTAGCTTTTAGTATTTATGACGATATTTATTTGGTTTTTCCGAAATATCTTTACCATTTATGATTTGCTCCCACAGTTGGATCCCACATTGGCACCAGCTAGCATGCATCGCACCTCTCCTATCTCTCTCTTTCTCGCCTTACAAAAGTGAACTTATAAGTCTGCTAATTACGTGTGTCCTTCCAAAGAATACCTTTGCTGGATCATATGAATGCACCGATGACGTTACCATCTCGATACGTCAGAGGCGTCAATCTATTCTTGTTACATGTCATTTTTTGTGCTTAATATTTTTTATATATTGTTATAAAAATATAATATAATCATTGTTGTAAATTTTAAATACCATCATAAATTATGGTAATTGCATTGTTTGATGTGATAAGTAATTGTTTTTCTTTCACAGTAGTTATGAGACAACATTTATTAGCAGTGAAATTATTGATACAAATGAATTGGGTTAATAAAAGGTTATGCATATAAGTCGAAAACATAAGAATATTCTTTGTATGAACATAGTTTGAATGGCAATTGCATTTACTCTCCTTTTCTTGTTATTTTATGCATCCCTCATAATCATAAACTATACTTAGATCAACATTTCAAGCCAGTCCAGGTTGGTTTGAAGGAATGCATCGACTATGTGACAAATGACAATTTGGGGATCAACTTTGCCAACTGCTTAACACACACTGACAAACAACTCAGAACAGTAGAACACTGGATGGCTTCAAGAGTACTGCAAACCACAAGACCAAAGCACGCATCCTACAATTACATCTAGATTTAAGATCATGCATACTACAACAATAAAACAGCTAGGTTCGAAGAAGAACGATGACAGATTCGAACTAGGATAGAGATGGAGACAACAAACAGTTGAATGTCCCCGGACAACATCCGTGGTTTGTACCGCACCATCACACCTGTTAATTGTCAATGGACAGCTTACGCCGCTTGTATCGCACCATCACTTCTCCTTTGACCCCGACGACCATCGCGTTCCAATCATTTTCAGGGAAGGGAGATATCAGCTCAAACTCAAAGTTCCTCAGCAAGTGGCTCCATATCGCCTTGATCTGCAAGTATGCGAACGGCTCCCCCAGGCACCCATGCCTCCCACCCCCAAATGAAATGTATGAGAAGGCTCCAGCTGCCTTGTCTTCATCTCTCCCAGGTGCAAATCTGTCGGGATCATATGTATTTGGGTCCTTGTAGATGTAGGGAAGCCGGTTTGCAAAAGCTGGGGAGGTGGCTACTATGTGGCCCTTCGGGATATCATACTCCTTACCATCTTTTGTTGCAACTGTGAAGTCATCATGAGAGTAGCGGAGCAGCATTATCAATGGAGGGTGAAGCCTCAGAGCTTCTTTGATACAACGGTAGAGGACGTCCATCTCGGATAGGATGTCATGGTCCACCTTATCGCCGTGTCTCCTCATTATCCCCCGCTGCTCTTCGAGAGCAGCTGTGAGGTACTTCTTGTAGCTGAGCATATAAGCCCCAGTCCAGGTCGAAGTGATAGAACTGGTGTGCTGTCCTGCAAAGAGGGCGGCGATGAGCAGCCCAGTAATCTCTCCTTCAGTGGTTGGGCGACCATCCTTGTACCTTGAATCGATGAAGCACTGCAGCATGTCATCCTCTGATTTTCCAGAACTCTTGCGCGATTTAATGATGGTGGAGAAGATCTCAGCTATCCTAGCACGGGCACGATCACGTCGGCGATGGGCTGGGATTGGGAGGTACGGGAATATGACACTGATGGGGCGCATGCCATTGTCGAGATCATGAAAGAGGGCAGAGACATCATCGAAGAGCTTGTCTCTAACTTCCCTCCCCAACAGGCATCGGCTTGCTGTCAATATGATCAGATGCTCCAGCTCATATTTCAAATCCACTGTGCCACTCTCTCCCCATTTCGAAAAGTAGTCCTGCAGAAATTAATAACAAATATTTTTCATAATCACTTGAACTATAAAACAGCAGTTGCACATGGTCCTTGGAGAAATACAGAAACTAATTTAACCCTTATTGTTTTAAACTAGAACTTTTACCAATGTTAACATTAAACTATGTCATTGTTGATTGAAGCAGTGAAACCGGAAGAAGATGAAATTAAGTGTATTTGGATAGAGAGATTCACCCCAACCAAACAACTGATATTGAACCAATACATTAACAAAGGTTTTCTAATGAAGACAGAAAGGGGCAGCACTTTTAGACCCCTTGCAAAAGGATACTGCTATTAAGGTAGACCAAATCTCATTGTGTGATGTCATTATTTGCAGACCTGATGAATGAGTCCCACATGTGGATTCCATGCATGACATCTGAGGGTAATCACACCTCAGTCCATCTAAATAACATGATATCTTTGCGCAAAACAAAACTTGTCTGACATTTAAAACTCCAGCCACATCATAGTGAGCAAATGCTGATCTAAGTGGCATTCGCATGCTTATAAATCTCAAGAGAATAGCTCAAGATCCAGGAAACAAACATCTAACAGAATATGAAAAAAGAATAATCTGGATAAACAACAAAATCATATTCATTCAAGACAAATAATGTTCTGTGTTGCAGGGCTCATGTTTCTCTTTTTCAAAAACAAGTTATACCTCACAAGTTTACAAGAATCTACTGTCATCAATAAACATTAGGGAACTGGAAATAGTAATAACAGAACTTGCAGAAAAGAAATGGACTTTTGAGCAATCCACCATTGAACAAATATTTCTACGTAGAAAAAATGTGTTCTAAATTATGATCATGTAAGAATCAATCAAGTAAAACAAAACTGTAATTACAAGAACTTCATGAAGGGTTAGGAGTAACAACTACTCCAGTACCCATGAAGCATAGGAGTAGTTAACCATTCTTCATAAGAAGTTCATGAATGGTTGGAGGTGCAATATTATATACAATTATGAAACTTTTATTCTGAATTATGAAAATCACAGAACTCACTGTTTAATTCACTGGTAAATAAGTTCCAAGTCTATGGCATCCAAAATGTTGATTTTTGTAAACGAAAAAAGTCCTCAATATTAAAAACCATTATTGGAGATAAATACTTCCATGATATGTGACATCACAAACAGAATCATCTCATCAAAATGGTTCCTTTTAGAAGTATATGTCTCTGCTAAAAATGTAGATTTAAAGATCAAGTCTCATCTAAGGGTTAGCCTTTTAGATAGAATGACAACTATAAAACTTCAATTAGAACTTTTAGTACAACTATGAAACTTCCAATAGAACTTTTAACATAAATAAAAAGACCATATCTCATCAGTTAAGAATACTTATTACGACCATGAAACTTTTAATACAAATTATGGAAATCTCAGAAGTTCATGGCGCACATTGATTCTTGTAAATAATAAATGCTCATGAAATCTAAAAACATAAAAAAAAAAAAAAGGTTACCTAATATGTGACATTAACATCTACCATCACATCAGAGCGGTTCTCTCAAAAAGCATCTGTCTCAAAAGTTCTATGCCATGACAAAATTTATGTGAGAGGAGACAAAGTTAACATTCATGAGTTATGGCCAGAAAAAGTAGGCTATGTAGATCATGGATCTAAAGTTGAAGAAATAAATGTTAATAACAATCTAGACCACCAAAAGCTTGTTCATAATGATCGGTATAATTAGAAAGAAATGCTCAAGTGGCATAGAATAAAGGAATTGCAACCCAAAACCTTTAGTTAAGAGGCGCATAATTACCTCGGCCTCGACAATCATCTGGTCCACATAGCTTCGCAGTTTGGTCACCCTGAGCGCCTCCGTGAAGAAACGGAACTGCTCCTGCCGGACCGAGTAGTCCACGTCGAAGACGACGCCCGGCCCAAAGGTCGGCACATTGAACTGGTACACCTCCTGCTGGCTGAGCTGCGCCTCCGGTGCCTTGAAGAAATGCCCCGACACCTCCGGCCCGATGAAGAAGGTGATCTTCCGGTTGATGATGTTCACCGTGAACACACTACCGATCTTCGCGTACTCCTCCCGGATCATCGGAATCGGGCCTTTCATGAACCGCAGCAGCCCGCCGACGACCGGCAGGGCCGCCACCGTCGGCGGCAGCCGCTTCCTGGACTTGGGCGCCAGGACGGCGGCCACGATCTTCGCGAGGACAAGGGTCACAAAGAAGAGGAGCCCAGCGACGACGAACTTGTGCTCCTTGAGATCCATCGCTGAAACCATGATCTGCACCGAGAAAAACTCAACAAAATTCGATCTTTCGAAAAATGGGAGGGGCAGAGATTTAGAACATCAAGGGAGCCAAAAACTGAGGAAGAGGCAGGAAAAGGTCAACAAATCGAGTTTAAATGTCAGAAAACGAAACAATACCAAACAAAGAAAAAATTAAAGGCAAAGAAGGGGTGTGTACTCTCTACCTCAAATCCGAGGAGGGGGGGAGCAGATTAGGTTCGGAGAACGCTAGGGTTTGGATACGGAGAGATCCAGGTGAGGGCATAAGTAGCGGTACGCGATATATCCCAACAACGTGAAATGCATGCGAGACAGAAAAATCACACTGCTCCATCTCACCTCGCTAATCGATACATCGATCGACACGCTTGGGTCGTATCCGACCAACAATTAATGCTGCTTGTACGCTCGAGTCCACGTGACTCCGGAAATGTGGATCTTGTGTGGCGACCGGTACAGTTTGTGTTTCCTGTTTTGCTCTTTTGGTTTAGATTCGTGCCACGCATCGTGTCAACCTGTAAATTTCTGCTAACATAATTGAAAGGCAGGAAAGACTGATATAAAATCAAGAGGAACAATGTTGTAGTTGTCGATGATCACATAGATGCTGCATAATTCTCATGTGTAGACAACTGATGATCGTGCCATCCAGAGAGTAACTTGGATGAACAGAAACAGCAGAGTAAAATATCAACCACATTCAGTTTCAAGACAATTATCCCCCAAGGGGCATAAATTGCTCACCTGTGAAGCATCACTGCAGTGACTAACACTGTCGAGAACACAGAACCCATGGACTATATATCTTCTTCATGCACTGAGGTTATCTGGTGATACAGAAATCTCCTTGGAAAACCATGAGTGTTGTCGATGAACTTTGCAGGAGAAGGGTGAGTGGGTCAAAATACGAACATAGAATAAAGATTTTATCTACCAAATATTTACATTATGAAGGCTATTGTTCACTGACTACAAAAGGATTATCCATCTTCTTCTCGAGTGACAATGTAGGGGGGAAGTTCAATGGTGAAAACATGTCGTCGTAACTTGACGGCGTTGCAGGTTTGAATTCGTAAGGACCTGCCTTTGGACCCCAGACCTGTGGTTTTGTGAAATCACACAATTAAGTAACCCTTGGAATCTACTATGAAACAATATGTAGGAAAGTTGTAGTGCAGCAAATTTTAGAGACCACCTGATTGCCTTCATCATCGTAACCTCTGTCCCATGTATGTATTTCACCGTTTCTATGAACTGTAAGCTCAGATGTAGAGTACAATGCGCCGTTCTGTCAATGAAGATGAATCTTGTTTATTCAAAGGTGAAGAATAAAGGACAATTCTCAGTCTAAGTCAAAATTGAGTGGAAGCAAATCCTGCACTATGATAAGAGGTTCAAAGAAGGATACCCATGTATTAGGAAAGCCGCCTGGTGGAGTTGAACCTTCATATAAGCAACGCTTTCCACGTTCACAACGGTTGAGGTGAACTGTTGTTAGATGTTCTGCAATATCCTGAAAACCAACCATAATAAATGTTTGAACATGTTATAGACAAACAAACATGCAACAATGTTGAATTTCACTGCTGCTGCTACTACACTGACAGCTCCACACATTTCACTGACAAAGGATAAAAACTTAAAAAAAGTAACGAGCATTGGCATTAGCTGTCCAGAAAATATTATGAAGCAAGCAGGGAAAGAGCTCAATCAGTAGCCTGCAATAATTTATGTATACCTTAACCTACCGCCGAACAATCTCGGGTAGCATGGGGGATGTCAAATTATTATCCCAAATAACGAAAGTATACTGTTACAACAATCAGGGTATCATTCAAACAACAGATGATTAAATATAGAAATTTTGCATCAAGTTTGTACAACTATCTAAAGATAACCCTCTCAATATGGAAGAAGCTAACTGGTGGAATAAACTCAAATTGCGCAAAGCCAGACATAGGAATTCCATGTTTCTACTCTTAGGGTCCTGACATGATTCTTATTCTCCATTCTACCACTTCAGCCAAGAGTTCCAGCAATCTGAGACCTCCAGATGTAAACTTTCAGGGCGGTTTACACTTAGCAAAATAATAAAGCAATAAGAGAAAAATACAAGAAAAGGACAGGGAGAGACATGAAATCAAACATATTGCAGTTAAATGGGAGAGATATTGAAGACGAACTAGAACAGAAAAATGTTGTGTAGATTGCTGTGATTCAGTTTCTCACAACTTGTGTCCTAAGGATTAAAAATATGGGAAAACAATTTCAAAGTGAGAATTAACTGAAGGAGATTTTTTCTGAATTCACAGTGCATCTCATTTTTGCTTTCCTTACTTTCTCATTTACCATGTTTTGCTGATAGAACAGAAGGGACAGTGACAAAGATCCAATATTGTAGTCTTAGTTGGCAATGGAATTTAGCTGCAAATAGCAAACACCTGATAACAGTCTTGAAAGAAAAATTAGAGCTAAAAATATCACAACATAAATCTAATACATAAATTGTTTAGTATGATCTAATAGGGGTTAGCTATATGATATTTTTAATGGTCAATTGAAGTTTCTTTTGAACAAGTTGTCATGATTTTCCTTGAGTCAACAAAATGTATAAATTTGAATCAACTCAGATTTCCCACAACTCACTTAAAGTATCTTTGGATAAGTTCAAATCTTCAATATTACCTTACCCAACTATCATGCTAATAATGCCAAAATTCAAATTTTAAGGACATCAAAAAAACTTCATTGTATAAGTAATTCATGTTCCTCCAGTCGCAATATAATATTTCATAATATTACAATTAGGTTTACCTATCAAACTTGAGCAGCAATCAGTGGAACTATGTGGGAGAATCTTTTTCCTTTTTTTTGAATAAGGAATTTACTTGTGACTAGCAACGTTGAAAAAAGAAAACAGTGGCACCAACAGCTTTGCTACAATTTTTTTCATTTTATTATGATTTGTTTTAGAATATCAGCCTGCAGTATTCTTAAGTCAACTGTACCTCCCAACTCCAGGAGCTACTCCTAGGAGCGATCTTATTCATGTTTCAACTATGATAATAATTTCGTCCATCTAACTTATTTAATCCTATCTTTCCAAATTCATGAATAAGCCCCCTGTGATCAGATATATCTATCTTCAGGAGTATTTGCCGATTATTTGGAAACATGTGTAAAATGAGCATACTGTTTGTGTGTTATAATGCGATTAAACATGAGAGGTTTAAATGCTGCAACATTAGCAGTACCACGTCATAAGATACTAATGACAACATTGCTAATTAAGCATTATGGTTTGCAGCAAATCAATAGATATTAAAATAAAGATTTCAAGATTAAAACCAGAAGAGAATATGATATCTTGTAAAACCCCTTTTTTTTCCATTTCATTTGTCAAAGAAATATTCTTTATATAGACCACACTGCAAATATATCCATATAAAAAATAGGACAGATACTAGAAATCAAGTCAAGTTCCTTACACTAAGACATACCCCAATAACCTCCTCAGGCTGTGGCCTCTGATCCATTGGACGATCACAAAAGTTTTTGTACTCTTCCACATCTCTTATTGCATATGAACTCAACTGTCAATTGAAAATATTTCAAAGAATTAGAGTCCACGATAGTAAACACATAAGATGATGCCAGGCAAATGATAGGAGTTTCAACAAGCACGCAGTTGGCTCCAAGGTTCAGGTAAAAATGTGTACTAGCCAGAACATGTTGGTATCTTTTCCAGTTCATAAGACCGTTTGGATGCAATGTCATTCAGAAACTTGTTAGACAACATAGGCAGACTAAATCTTGAATGTTTTGAGATGTAAATCATTCTAAATTTGATAAAAACAATAATATGAAGTCCAGGAACCAAAACAGCAACATTAGCAATCCAGAAGATTAAGATAGAATAAGATTTGCTGCTGACTTATTAAAGGAATTTAAAGCCATTCTCACCTCAACATCACATTTCATCTCTTTTGGACAAGGCTTCACCATATAAAATCTCTGCAATGATGTTAAGAGCCATAAGCAGCTTATCATGCTCCACACAAGTCAATATTGGTTGAAAAACTGTAGTCAAAAGTGAAGAGAGACACTGCAACAGCTAGAATTGGACATAACATTTGAGCCTCATAGTCTTTTAACCGATCTACATGTTTTTTAGACCTTAGGAATAATAAAGAAAATATCATAATTATACTTTTTCATTTTTTTGGGAAAAGGGGAGTGGATGAGTTCCAGCTTAAGAAAACAAGAAACATCACATAATCATAAATAAGAGAGTCGCAGGTGATTTGGAAGCGAGGAAATGGATAGGTAACATAAGTCAAGCCTGTTCTAGACAGGAGTGAGGACGACGGTGATCAATTCTTCTATCATTCTTTAGAAGGGGGGAGGCCCCATTCATTGAATCTGAAATAACAGAGGAGGAAAACTAAACACTGATGGCATACGTTCTTAATAAATAGTTATCATACTTGTCGAAAAGGTTTGTGAGGAGTTCTCCAAAATGCCTGCAAAAAGATAAAAGAAGAAAAAAATAATATATTCATATTTTGAAAAAAAAAAGCAGAACAAAACGTCAAGGAGGAAAAGCCGTGAAGGGACCTGTTCAAAGTATAAAACCCTTGAGCCATCTACCATCTCAGCCGCTGGGCACATTAGCATTCTGTTTAGAAGTAATGCTGTTAAAGAAGAATGCTTGCAACATAAAGAATGACCACAATGATATTTTATTAATAAAAAAAATCAGCTGATCACATATCAAAAGGCAAAAACTACAGAATGTAGGCAACTCTCACTGGTACGAGCTGCAAAAAGATCATCTGAAAAGCAACCCTAACCTCACCAATAAGCCGACCTAGATGGAGACTTCAGCATAATGAGCACTATGCCTTTTAACATTTGAATCATCTTAACGTTTTTCATATTTGCACCGGATGTAACTCAATTTGGTTGATTAAAAATAATCACTAGTTCAAAGATCTAACTCCTACTAGTGCGACCCGCTAAGCCACTGGAACGAAATTAATTTGAAGAAGAGAAACAAATGTAACCATGATGATTATTTATCAAAACATGTAAATGATGTACACACAACTCCAAATATAAGCTATTAGATTTTGATATGCACACACATCCGTGGCATTCGAGATCAGAGAACTTGACAATCTTTGACAAGAAAACGAAGCATTAATCACTGAGATACACGGGCGCACCTTATGTTGAAGTAGTTGTCGGGATCATTGCGAGCCTGTTCTCGAGAGAACTTTACACAAACAATCGAAACAAACTAGTTAGAATCCATAACACTGCATACAGAAACCCAATTC